ATTGTTTGACGAGAAGTTCTTGAGTCGCCGCCTCTTGTTCCTTGTCCTCGTCGCTTTTACTCTCGCTGTCGGTGTCACCCAGCTTACGCAACTCATCCTTGGTGTTGGTAGAGTCGTTCAGGAGCTTGAATTTCTTTGCCGAGTATGCAGCTTTAACATTGCAGATTAACTCCTGGTCCATGGGCTGGATTAATGACGTAGTGTTGGGAGGAAGGAAGACCACTTTTACGTTGGGGTGACGATCCATAAGTAGGGGCGAGTGTCCAGGTGCGTTGTCAAGGAGCAACAAAATATTGAAAGGAACATTCTGTTGCTCGCAGAATTTCTGCACGTCAGGAACAAAACAGTTGTCAAACCAGAAGAGGGACAGAGAAGAGGACATCCACGCCTTACGTGCGGTTAGCCAGTGGACATTAAGCTTGTTCATGTCCATATTCTTGTAGGCGTGCGGCTTGCGGGCTTTGTGAATCACCGATAACTTTGGTTTACAGGTACCGGAGGCATTGGTGGTAAACAGGACGGTGATGCGTTCCTTCTGCATCTTCCGGCCCCTTACCTTGCTCGCAGACTGGACAACGAAGGTCTTGGAAGGTAACTTTTTCCAGAAAAGACCAGATTCGTCCATGTTAAACACCTGGTCGTCACTGTACTGTCCTTCCTCCATAATCTCACGTAAAAACGGAGGAAAATCTCTAGCCGCCGCACGGTCAGCACTCGCTTCCTCACCAACAATGCTGATGTTGGTGACCTTGTTCCTCCTCTTAAACCTATGCAGCCAACCATGGGAAGCATTGAAGGGTTTGGGCTCTGCAATTCCCAGTTTACGTGTCACTGCTGCGTATAGCTCACGTGCGTACTCCTGCACTGAGCGCGTGTCCACCGCCATGTTGCGTCGCGCCTGACGCACCAAATAACTCACCAGCAAAGTTTCCACTTTTGCCAGCACCCTGTTCTGGCAATACCTGATAGATGAAGCACCTGCAGACTTTGTGATCTTCATGTGCTCCTTTATCTTGGCTGCATCCTTCTTTATTGTACGAATCGTAGATTCGTTGACGCCATGCTGGCGCGCGAGATCAACTTGGCGTCTTCCTTTCTCCAAATCTTGAACAATTTGGTACTTCAGCTCGTAGCTTAATGAACGTCGTGTCTTCTTTGGTTTAGTGCCGCTGGGTCCAGGTAAGGAAAGGTTTCTCTCTGGGGGTGGTGGTCCGGCGGAAGCCATTTTACGGAACAATGGATGCGCGTTAACCCGGCGTGGCCTTGAGGGATGAAACTGCCGCGGCTAGGTCAAGCGTCGTCTCTCCTCCCTCCCTCCCTCCCCGGGGTAGTCACGTCATAATACTTTAAGCCAATTACAGCTAGCAGCAGAGGGGGGTAGGGCTGCATGGCCAATCACAGTCCGAGACGTCATATGACGTCAGTGATAACGCAACAAAGACACACACTGCGCAACCTTACCGCGCCGCTTACCCAAGCGGAGGGAGGAGGAGGGAGAGGCAGGCAGGCGGGTGGGTGGCGCGTGGCGCGTGGGCAAAATCTAAAAATAGCATCCGAGCCGGACACTCACCGCGTATATGTGGAAAAAACCCGCGTTAAGTGAAAGTTCAGCTTTGGCAAGGCACCGCGTATATGCGAAAACGCGTTAAGTGAAAGCGCGTTAAGCGGGGTAAAACTGTATTGTAGTGTATTTATCACCACTTAATAAATACTATTGTAGTGTATTTATCACCACTAAATAAATACAATTGTGTATTTATCATCACTTAAGTAATATTGTAGTGTAAAGTATTATGTATCTGCATATACCCTGGTTTATTCATTAATCATTTGTATAAGTGTACAAGTAGCCAAACTGAGTAATCATTTAACACTCAAAGGTAGTAAATAACATATTTAAGAAGGTATCTTCATATCAAATGCTATACAGTATAGTACAGTGTGTTATAGTGGGCCCCTGTTGTAAGCTGGTCTACTGAATGCTCTCACGCAAACGCATCTGCAGTAAACAATCTTCTGATATAGCTTATCCTTTTATTTTCATTTCATATTACAAATTACATGCATTATTATATTATTTTCTCTATTACTGAAGATGTTATGTTAATCTTGATGAACCAAAAACCACAAGAGGCCAATCATATGTGAATATAATATTGAATCAATAAATAAATAAACCTGACCTTTGTGGCAACACCTGATCAGCCCCAGCCTGCTTACATACTCAAGTGTCTTAGTTCTCAGTAGGCCTTTAGCAAATCTGATTAGACCAATGTACAGTACTCAGTATGTGTTGTTCATTTCATCAGATTTTTTTTTATTTAATCTTGCCCATATATATATACAGTTGTACCCCACTTAACGCGGTCAATTGAACCCAGAGGGTCCCGCGTTAAGTGAAATCCGCGTTAAGTGAACAACAGAACATATGGGATTAATTCCAATAGAAACCGGCCCGACCCCCAAACTCCACTTTTTGAAGGCACATACCTATGTTGTAGTAAAAATAACATCTTAATTTTATGATGGTACATGCACACAATTAATACTTAAGAGAAAGAGAGAAATACAGTCGCCAAGTTAATGTCCATTCAAATAATGGACTCAACTCCCTCCCCCTCTCACACTACACTGCCGGCTCTTCCCTCTCAGAGAAATTTTTGGGGGAAAACCACTAAATTTTAATAAATAATACCTCAAACTAAAGTTAGGATAATACAATTGACATTGCTGGATTCCTTGTAAGACCAGGAATATTTTGAATATAAATGTCATATATTTTGCACAAAAGATAACATAGTTACCTAGAGAAAATTTTTTATCTAAAATTTGTATGTTTAATGAAAAATATATGATGTTTATATTCAAAATGATCACCAAATTATAAGAATTCCAGCAATGTAAATTATATTCTGACCGGGTAATTTGTATGAATTTTATGAGCTAAAACAAATATCTTCAGTTAATAAAAAAAAAAATCTTCACGACACTATCTGTCAATCAAAGTACCCCACCTTGCCTCCCCCCCTCTTCCAACCGCGCGGTCAGTCCCAACCCTCCCCCCCATCCCCCACCAATCCTCCCTTCCAGAGTTTTTAACATTTAGTATTAAATAATACCTCAGATTAAAGTTAGGATAATATAATTGACATTGCTGGATTCCTTGTAAGACCAGGAATATTTTGAATATAAATGTCATATATTTTGCACAAAAGATAACATAGTTAATTTGAGAAAAATTTTTATCTAAAATTTGTATGTCTAATGCAAAATATATGATGTTTATATTCAAAATGATCATCAAATTATAAGAATTCCAGCAATGTAAATTATATTCAGACCGGGTAATTTGTATGAATTTTATGAGCTAAAACAAATATCTTCAGTTAATAAAAAAAATAATATCATTTCATTTTTGTGCCAGTTAGTTGAATGTAATGGTTTCCCCGAAACTGGATAACTGGAATTCTACTGTACAGGAGGTCCCTAAGTTACGAACATTGCTAACATCCACCGATAAAAATGAGGTCCCATAAAGTTAACTTTAAATTTACAGGACTGTATTTTATTTACCTGACGACTTATTTTTTATTTTCATTTACTGTATTTTGTCATTCTATTTCTTTTTTCTTTTAAATTAAGTGACTTTTAGATGTATATAAAGACTTAGGCTATGATATAATGGGATTTTAAACATTGCTCTGCAAGTACAGTAAGCACATAGGGTATGTGTTTCAACTTTCGTACATTTTCAACTTAAGAACATCCCCAGAAACGGAACTCTTTCGTTACCTGGGGACTGCCTTATGTGTTTTCACTTAGCTGGTATATGTTATAGATTTATTAGAATAAAAAAAAATTTCTCCCCAAACAAATAAATAAATAAAAAAAAAGTCATAACGGTTGCAGACTCATTGGACAGACATGGAACAAAGAACAATGGCAGAATTCCTCTGCCACATCCCCTCCCCAGTGCTAATTTATACATTGCCGCCACATTTACTTGATCTCTTCTGTTTACAGTGAGTAAAACCTTCCTAAATCCCTGTAAAATGAGTGAGAAAGGGCCAGAAAGTAGTATTTGTGCTTCTGGCAAGAAAAAACAAGTTAAAATATTATTCTAGAAGTTAAATTACATGTTTTAAGGTGATCTGAAGCTGGCAAATGAGCTGTTGACAATATCAGATACTAAGAAGCTGTGCCACTGGTTGTGATACAGTGCGAGGCCCAGCCAAGAATTATGCTTTTAATTTGGTGGTGATGCACCAACATTAAGTCAAGTGGGATGGTGGCACTGGTCCAGTCTACAGGAAGCAAGTGAAGAGGGTAACGGGGTGAAATTTCAAGGTATTTGTTTCTAACAAAACTGGCAGTCATTGAAGGATTAACATGATATTTTACATTTTCAATAAATCTAAAATATATTTCAAAATAATTTCAATTAAATGCACAAAGAAAACATCATCTGCTAATACAACCTCTATCATTTGATCTCCACCTACCGTATGCTTCTGATTATATAGTACTATTATTAACTTGCATATCCAAAATCTTCTACAGTACATTCTGTTTTGTCTGTGAAGTCTCTGAACATCAACTTTGACAATCTGGTTTGTTGCTTTTGTCAAGTACAAGCTGTGTAATGTTTTTTTTTTATAAAACACACATTCGTGGCCTTTACAAGAAACAGACTGCAGTGGGTTTTATATCAGCATTACATAATAGCCTTTGTAAAATATGCATTCAGTAATGGCTTTATAAAGAAATGTACTATGAATGCTAACAGGTGGCATAAGTGGTAGATAGTAGAACAGTGGTGATTAATGGCTTCTTTTAAATTTACAGTGAGTGACATCAGACAATTCTGATAAAACAGTCCATGTTGTTTTATGGGGTAAAAATCATGCACATTATCTTAACCCTTTGAGTGAAGGGGTTCAACCCAATGCTGACAATTACAAATTAATTTATGTACGAAATGAACATAAACGTACGCATACCTTCATGAGTCACAGCTGTGACTCTTCCTGAATTAGCTAGCACCTCAGCTTCAAATGCTCCATGCTTCTGGATCTTGGACTGTAGATTAGTTGGGTCTCTGTAACTTTCATCACATGCAACTTGTAATTTCTCTGATATCCAACCCTCCACCTCATAGATGTTTCTAAGAAACTGCTGTAAAGACTTCGACTCTTCAAGCTTCTGCCATCGTGCCCTTGATTTCTCTTTCAGATTATCTCTCTTGTCTGTAACCACTTTGAGACGACGAAGAATCCCTACACTGTCATAGTGATCATTCTTGAGTAGCTCCTTTGCAAAGGTTTCCAACTGCTCAATCTTATTTCCCTGAGCTTCAAATGTTTTATCAAAGCTCTCATGCTTCTTGATAAGAACTTCAACAGATGCCATGGAATCCTATTTACAGAAAGAATAAAAAATAAACATCAATTCAATAATGGTTAAGTTGCATACAGTATCAGAAATACAATTTACAGGTATGATCCATAAAATAATAAATCCAAAGTACTGTACTTGGTTTATCCATAAATAAGGAAAATCTAATTACAGACAAGTTCTTGCTTAGAGAGGTTTTGTGGGGGCTGCAGTTGAGAGAGGAGTCAGTTCCCACATGTTTGTTATGACCACTGCACCATTGCACACTTCTTTTTTTTTCATATTTAAGACTCCCCTGGTGTATTATTATGGCCTCTAAAGTGAGTAAGGGCAAAACAACACTACTAAAGACCATTGGGAGAAGAGGAATGGTGCTCAGAACTCTACCAATTGTAGATAAACTGAAGATATGAGATGGAATCGATGCTAGGGTCTCCATGAACGTGATCTGTGAGGATTTTGGGCTGAAGTGGAGTACTTTTTATGACAGCTAAATTTAAATACAGTCGACCCTCGTTAATTCAGACCCCTTTAATCCGGATAATTCGGACAAATTCTGAACTTTTTTTTTTTTTTTTTTAGATTTGTAAGAATATTACCTACGCAGACCTTAAGCTAAAATGCTGGTCCACCCACTGCTGGGATAAAACACCAGCATCTTTTTGGTTAAATGTAACATCTCCACCACTAGTGTTGGGGGGATGCAACTTTTAGCTTCAGACATGAAAAATATTTACCATTTACTGCCAGTAAACAATGGAAACGTTAAATATGTACCAATTAGTAATGAAAAGTTGTGCAGTTCCTTCAGCAAATGAAGCTCACCAGCATACAATAGGCTAAATTACCTTACAACGTGTTTTCAGTAGTCTATGTTGAAGTTCTTAGCACAGGCTAACTTATCATATCATATAGGGTATCACAGTTCTCATTGATCTACAAAATATACCGGTAATAAAGACTTTTCGATATTTCACACTTAATATAATACCCGGTAATCTACTTCAACCTCCTATTGTTTACAACGACGCATGACGCACCACCAGCTGTTGAGTATCAGCTAGACGGTACACGTGTTTTTCAAGTCGTTTTCAGTTAAAAAACTGTTACATCACATGTACATTTTACCTTAACTGTGCCTGAATGAATATATTCTCGGAAATAAATAGTAGTTTTGCTGAAACGTGATGTATTTTAATGTAAAATAGGATAAAATACATGACGAAAACAAAAAAGTTTACCTAACCTTCCGATGTTAAAGAGAAGTTACTCGTTTTTTTAATAGTTTTTGGTTAAAATATTGTTATATTACAATGGTATTCTATTAATACTGTGCTTGATATAATGCATTGACGGAAATGTAATATTTTTGCTGAAATGACGTACGCATTACAGTGGAAAGAGGGATAAAATCGTGACGAAAACAATGACTTTCACATTCTTTCGTTCAAAAGATGTTACCGTAATCGCTTTTCGATTGGTTTTCAGCTAAAAAACTGTTGCATTACAATAATATTCTATCCTAATTGACTTGAATAAATACTACGATACCATATTTCTGAATATTTTCATTAAAATCCATCCAAATCATTTTCCTTGTCATCGTCTGCAGCACCAAACAGCTTCTCCCAGTCCTCTCCTTGAACAGGGCTAGAGGGTACGTGTTTTTCGAATGTTTTCAGTTAAAAAACTGTTACATCACACGTATATTTTACCTAAACTGCGTCTGAATGCATACATTATCGGAAATAAATAGTAGTTTTGCCGAAACGTGATGTATTTTAATGTAAAATAGGATAAAATTCATGACGAAAACAAAAGACTTTACCTAAGCTTCCGATGTTCTCGAGATGTTATTCATCTTTTTAATAGTTTTCGGTTAAAATACTGTTATATTACAATGATATTCTATTCATACTGTGCTTGATATAATACATTCACGGAAATGTAATATTTTTGCTGAAATTACGTTCGTATTACAGTGGAAAGTGGGATAAACACGTGATGAAAACAATGACTGAAATATAATGCAATATTAACCCCTAAATCGGTTAAATCGGACAATCGGCTAAAACGGACACCCTTCCCCCCTATTAGTCCGAATTAATGAGGGTTGACTGTACAGTCTCTCCTCGACTTACGACGGGGTTAGGGACCGACGACCAGGTCGTAAGTCGAAAAGGCGAAAATAATGTAGAAAATCTAAAGTGGGCGTCTCTTTTTCTTCTCAGCACCATGAGATCTCTCACTTTTAAGCTTGCCAGTCATTTTAAAGGGAATTACAAACGAAAATTTTGTCAATACACAGTACAATCACTAATGTCAGGACTCGAAAATACGCAATTTGAGTAATATTTTATACGACTGCAGCGGTCGTATGACCGAGTGGTCGTAAGTCGAGTAGATCGTGAGTCGACGAGTATCTGTATACAGGTACGGTATACAAAATATATGTTATAAGTGTAACTAAATATTAAGTGTAAGTACAAGTGTGAATATGGGTACTGTATTGCAAGTGTAAGCATCCTCCTCCAACTCAACAATTCATCTGTTACAATAAAAGTAAGTGTTAAATGTATACTGTTTGTTTTTAGAAGGGATATTTCAGCAAAATGAAGGTTGAAAGCAGCCAGGGGTGAGGTTATGCCTAAGTCGGAATTCTAGAACAGTCGGACTTCTGGAGGTCTAAAGCAAAATTTCAGCTATTAAATTTTACAAGATCTATTCTTGTAAATACAGAAAATTTTATTTCCTGAGTAACCTCCAATATTTCACTACTGCAAATGTTACCACAGAAAACAGATTTTTGTAAACATGTCTAGGTTGTCACCAATAACTGCAATGCCTCATATGCACTTAACACACTGCTGAACAGAACAACTGTACTAGTGAAACAAAAAAAAAACATGGTGTATGGTAGTGTGGGACACCAGACTGCACACGGTTACCAGCTCTTAACACAGAAAAACACTAGATATAATTAATCTACAGACCAGTACAAGTTTGTCAAATTTGCATTTCATTGTTCTGCTGATGCTATGAAGACTATAATATTGTAAATTGGGGTAAAAATTCTAATAATGGATACTGTGCTCTCAAGTGTTCCTGAGACACTACTACTTATTTTCCCATGTTGTATTCACAATTTCATAATTACAGGACCTCTTTAGAGACATAACCCCAAGTAAAAACATGGGTATACTGTAAGGTAAGTATTGCATGTGTGTTTTGACCTGTTGTTTATCTGTAGGGTGTAGTTACATAAAACTTTGATTGTATTTAGTCTCTATGGTGTAGGTTAGGAGTCTGGTCTACATGCTTAAGAATGTTTTAGTTATGGATACTTCTAAAAACAGGGTACAGTACACCACACATACTTTGGTCCATAACATGTGCATTCTAATGAAGTTTTATTATACTATGCATAATGTGTATGTGTGTGTGTGTGTGTGTGTGTAGAATAAAAACTATGGTGGTCTTATACTTACTTCATATATTGTGTCTGCATTCTGTTGCATGTTGAATAAAATAAAACAATTGGATTTTACTGCCTTGGATGAATGGTCTATCAAGGGACAAAAAGAGTGGTCTTCTAAAACTTGAAAAATCACTGGGAACCAAAATTTGTCAAAGATAAGGGAGTGGGTCCCCTACACATGTATTCCATTAACTAACAGAAATAAATAGGAAAAAACGACTTCAGTTCTATGTGAAGTTCTTAAATTAATTTATTACAGTAAACACCCTGAGTACTGGACTAATTAAGCCACAATGAAGTCACTACTAAGATGGAATCCATTATTCAGACATCCATATCAGCAGGGAGGCACAAATGGTCAAAACAACAGCCATCATATTACATGAACAGTTCAATAGCCTCTTCTCTACTCAGACGGTGGCTGCGTGTGGCAGATATTTGTGCCCTATAATTATATACTTGTTCTTGATTTTTCCAGTATTTATCAAATTTTGCTTCAAACTTTCCACCGTCTCCACATTCACTACCCACTCAGGTAACATATTCCAGTTGTTGACAACCCTACTCGGGAACGAATGTCTTCTGAGATTTAGCCTCGCTCTTGTTTTGTAGATCTTCTTTGTGTTCCCCTGGGTAGTGTCAGCCTCCCTCATCTGGAACATTCCTGCTGTACATGCCTGGTCATATATGCCACACACTATCTTGTATGTTTCCACTTGGTCCCCACGAGATCTTGTGTGTTCGCCAGTGTCAGTAACTGTAATTTCCTTAGTCTTTCCTCATAAGATAAATGGTTGATCTGTGGTACTAATTTGGTAGCCCCCCTCTGTACATTCTCTACTGCTTCAATATCCTTAATGAGATATGGGTACCAAATTTGATTAGCATACTCAAGGTGTGGCCTAACCAGCGCAGTGTACAGAGCCTTGAATATAGGTGCATCCAGATGAACAAAAGTTCTTCTAATAATGCCCACTATTTTATTAGCCTTGTTGATTTTCTCAGCTAGATGGTCAGAGAACGTCAGCTTATCATCGATGACTACCCCTATATCCTTCTCTACCGTGGTCTTCTTGATCGTGGTGTACATATGATATCCATGGTCAGCAACTTTTGTTCTTCCTATCCTCATGTATTTACTTTTTCTGGGTGAAAGTTCAGCATCCACTTCTCGGTCCAACCCGATCCCATCCAGGTCCTCCTGCAGCATGTCACAATTCTCATCTCGTTCTATTTTCCTAAAAATTTTTGTGTCATCCGCATATAGATATACCTCACTGTCGTGTTTAATTGCCTCAGGCAGGTCATTGATAAAAAGGAGAAACAGCAGGGGGCCAAGGACAGAACCCTGAGGGACCCCACTAGTGACCTCTCTCCAGTCAGATACTTCCCCATTACCACAACCCTCTGTTTTCTCTTAGTTAAAAAATTCCTTACCCAATCAAGATATTTTCCATCAACGCGATAACTAGATACTTTTTCTAATAGTCTTTTGTGGGGTACCCTATCAAAAGCCTTCATGAAGTCACAATACACTATGTCC